AATCTAGAACCCCTAACCTTTGTGGCTGGAGAAGAACCGTTGCCAGATTTCGTAGGGATGGTGGCAGAATCACCTTCATCACTTGCAGCAATGTTTTCTTCAACTTGGTCTAGCTTGGGAGAAACATCTTCTGTTTTGTTAGGAGGAATCTGGGTTTCCATGGCAGAAGTGGATTCTGATGGGGAGGCAGATTTGATGAGCTTTTTGGCGGCTGCAGGTTTCACTGCTGGCCTCTTAATTCCTAAGGAAAAAAAAAAAAGAGTGTGAGTGTTAGCAGAAAACATGTCACAAAGTTGCAAGCCAAAGTGGATTTACCTCCTGTTCTTCGCTGTTTGGAGGGGGTATCCTCTTCTGTGGAATCTGCAGGAGCAACAAATTTCCTTTTGACTTGAAGTTTGGGAGCTCTCCCTGGCAGATCTGGCTGGCTGATCTGGGCGGCCATGGCAGATTCCAGGTCCTCATTCTCTTTTACAACATTCTTCCCCTCAGATTTTTTGGTGAGTTGTGGAGGGGCCAGAACAGCGGATGAGACACAAAATAAGGGCCCAAAATTTGAGATTTTCTGTGAGGAACAAAAGTTTGGCTTGAATGGCATGGTTTCTGTTTTTGGAGTACCCTGTTTATATCATCTTGAAGGTTACGATTTTGAAAGATTTCAATTAAATTTGGGGGAGGTGACCTCAAGCAAGGAGTGGCCTTTGAACCGGCCATGGAAGCAGATCCGGTGGGCATGGTTTGCTCTTCTCGGTCATGAGCCATGGGGATGATTTTGGCAAAGGAAGGCACAAGCTAGGCAGATCTGCATACACAAAGAAGTAAAAAAAAAAAGAAACGCAGTCAACCAACAGTCACACAGACAAGGAGGAGTCCCGGTAGGGTCCATGGGGGCACAAGCAAAGCAAATCTTTGCAAATAAAGTGAAAGAGTGCAACCGGCAAGTACCTGTGGGGCAAGAAGAGTTCCTGGGGGGACCACCGTGTGTGGTAGCTGATCTGGAGCCGCCGGCAGTAGATCTGGAAGTTGGAAGAAGTGGGTTGCTGTTTTGGGTAGATCTAGGGAAGCATAAAAAAAAAAAGAATGAAGCAGAGGGACCGGCTGTGACTGGGAGAAGCTTAGATGTTGCAAGTTGGGTAGAAATTTGGAAGCTATTTGGTGAACAAGCAAGCAAGGGAAGAGTGCAGCCGGCGGTCAAGCAAAGTAAAAGGGAAAGGGAAAGTCGGTTTGGCCCGTGGAAGATGGAGAAGACAAAATGAATTTTTAATTTTCAGCTAATCCTTGTTTTTGGGATTTGTTTTGAAAATTAATAAGATGGAGGAGATTTTTCAATGGGGCCACTGACGGTGAAATAAAAAAAAAAAGAAAGAAGAAAAGAAGAAGAGTGCAGCCGGCCATGATTCAAAAGGAAAAGAAAAGTAAGTTTGACTTTTCTTTATTTTTGGGTTTTGAGAATTAGATAAATTTTGAAAAAGGAATGGCTGGGGTTTATCTAGAAAATTGCTCCAGGAGGTATTTTTGAAGTTGTTTTTAAAGGGGAGTCGACATGTGGCATGAATAATTATGGTGTGGGAGACAATTTATTTAATTAAAACACTTGGATTTATCTTAATAAAACCAAGTGTTGGGGGCATTGTTTACACCATAAATTGCAAAATTTTAAATTAATGCCACGTGTAAAATTTTTATTGGCTAGAGGAGTTTTGAGCCATGTCAGATTCGGATCCTGGGCCCCATGACAGGTCAGCACATGTGTTGGCAAGATAAGAAAAATAAAGATAATGTTGAGTAATTATCTTTTGAA